AAAAAAAAAAAAAAAACGAACGGCGCAGGGACATTTTTGGCGCTCGGGAGAAAAAGAGGCGATTTGGAGCTACTATGGACGAGAGGGGAACCGGAGAGGGTTTGCCCGCACGTTCGTCTTGAATCGGCTCAAGATTCGCTTTGAGAAAAATATGAAGAAAATAACCAACTTTCTATGTAACTCTGTATAATTTCTTCGTAGTAGTTAGAATGCAATCATATTCTCTTTGGGGCAAAAAATGAATTGCTTGTACTTGGAAGTATATATAATCTCTTAATATTATCATTGTTATTTAGATCAAATGTATGAAACATTGAGAGTAAATTGTAATTGTAGTCCTTTATGTTTCACTACTCTACCTTTTTCGTTCTCTTCAAATTGCGATTTTGATTTTCGTCCCGTATGTTTGCAAGAAGGTTACAAAAAGGTCATTTCATACATAAGGGACGGAATTGAAAATTTTCTTTTCTAAACATAAAGGATTTTTTTGTTGCGAAAATGATATTTTTGTAACCTTTTTGCAGATATACGAGATGAAAATAAAAAACGCAATTCGAAAAAGATGAAAAAGTTAAGGCAGTGAAACAAGACTAAAATTACAATTGAGATGCACCTTGTATGTGTTTGAAGGTTTTGTCTATCTGTTTGATTTTTCTTCTTTTTTGTCATTTTTTTTTTTTTATTTTTCTTAGTAAAATTTTTAAAATAACAAAATGATGGAAGCAATTATTTTCATATCACAATCAAGGCAAATAAGTCACAAAATCATTTTCTACAAAAGGAACAATAACAGTTTTATTTTATTTTATTTATTTATTATCATATAAATAATTTCATATATGAAAATTGTTGTGATCTGATTTTTTATTCCCATTGAAAAAGCTGAGCTTGACCTTGTAAATTTTTTATTTATTTTTTAATTATTTATAACCATCCTTTCTGCGTAAAATATGAGAGTGTAGCTTAATAAATAAATAAATGTCCAATTCTTACTAACCCTAAAAATGACAGTTTACCATACAAAAAATGCGTAAGTGTCATTGCATGTAAAATCATTAGAATTATTTTGAACTCGATGTTCAAGAAATAATTGATGAATTTATAGACAATAATACAAATCCATGTAAAATACGGTATAATCGGGTCGATCCATCATAGTTTTATTATAAAAATGTTTTTTTTTGTTTTATATGGTTTTTAAGTATCAAATTTCAATTTAATAATATGCATATTTGTCGAAAAAGTATGAGCATCTAAACTGCCTGATTTTTCCCATTGCTCTTGAGCTTTTATGAAATTATTATTATTATTTTTCTACCTGAAAAATATTTCGAATTATTACTAACCATACAACAAATTAGATGTTATATAATTTGGCCACAAATTATTGTTTTTGGCATATAATTGAGATTATTTTCACTTTCTTGAAACCTGGCTCAATCTTGTTTAATAGTTGATTAGCTACCTGAAAAAAATATTTTTTTAAGGGATTAGGTGAAAACAACTGACAGTAAATAAAATTAACATATGACTCATACAATAATTAATTAATTAAAACAAACAAAAAAATGTTTAATCAATTAAATAAACACATAAAAAACAAACAGATCATCTATTTGTCAATATCTCAGTCCTTTGTTTCACTCTCATATCATTCTCGAGATCCATTAACTTCATCATATTGTCCCTAAAATGTTGAATCAATTATTTAGGGCAGTACTGTAAACGAGTCGAGCCAAGCTCAATCTCGAGCCCTTAATTAAATGAGTCTGAAATCGAATTTGAGCTCAACTCGTTTAACACTCATAACGTGGCTAACTCTTGGGACAACTATAATATATTGTTCAATTGCTAATATAACATTACACGCGTATGCATCATCATCATATATTTATTTTATGAGTGATGAAAGGGTTAATGAATTGAGTTCAAGTAAATGTATTTATATATAATGATGTGTTAACATAAAAATAAATACTATTAAGACAAAAACTAGTTAAATGTAATTTTCAAAAAATGATTTTATATACCCGATTTTGAAAATTAAGATCACTCCAAAATTAGATATGTTATTTGAATTGAACGGTTGGAAAATCCAGTTTAGCTCGAAAGCTCAAACTCGACTCTTTAAAATCAATTGAACTCGAATAGCTAATTATTTGAACCCGACTCTTTTATTTATTTAAACGAGTCAAACTCAAACAATTAATACGGTCGAGCAACACTTACTTGCGGACAATTAAAAAGCAGTAAAGAAGAAGAAAAATGAAAGAAGTCCCCTACAAAGGTTGCTTTCTGAGCTATAAAATGAGACGCAAACCAAACCTCTCTACTCTAAACCCAACACTCTGCAAATTTCACAGCTTTATTGTTGTTTTCTTGCTAAACCTTGCTCGAGCTCTCAGAAACTCGAACATCCATGGCGGAGTTCAAGGAGGAGGACGTCAATCTGGGGGCGAACAGGTACAGGGAGCGCCAGCCCCTGGGCACCGCCGCACAGACGGACAAGGACTACAAAGAGGCGCCGGCGGCGCCGCTGTTCGAGCCCGGCGAGCTGAAATCGTGGTCGTTCTACCGGGCGGGAATCGCCGAGTTCGTGGCCACCTTCCTGTTCCTTTACATCACCATACTGACGGTGATGGGCGTCGGCCGGTCGAGCAGCAAGTGCGCCTCCGTCGGGGTTCAGGGCATCGCCTGGGCCTTCGGCGGCATGATTTTCGCCCTCGTGTATTGTACTGCCGGTATCTCAGGTGGGGTTTTGTCGATTTCCGATTTCTTTTTAGTCAACTTTTTGAAATAGTTCTTCAATTTTTTTAAGGATCTGAACTAGAATCGAAGAATTGAGCAGATTAAAGGGTGTTTGGTGTCAGGTTTCTTGTTTTTGCAGAGACTAACTTAAGACAATTTGCAATTGAGCCTCTAAATTTTGTATCTGGAAGTTGTTTCATGGCTTGCTAGCTCATCTCTGTCACTCTTGTGTCGATTTTGTTCATGTTTTTTTCGAAAAGAAACCATTTTGCAGTCCACTTTTTGGATAATGTTCTTATACAAATTAGACCTGCCCCTGCAATTTTGGCTGTTATTTTATTTATTTATGTATATTGGATGTTGTTTCATAACTTGCTAGCTTACCTCTGTCACTCTTGTGTCGATCTCGCGAAAAGAAACGATTTCGCGTCCCCCTTTCGGATAATGTTCTTATACAAATTATATACATGTGTGATTTTGCTTGTTCAAAACAAAAAACAGGAGGACACATCAACCCAGCTGTAACCTTTGGTTTATTCCTGGCAAGAAAGCTTTCTTTAACAAGGGCTGTGTTCTACATAGTGATGCAATGCCTCGGTGCCATCTGTGGGGCTGGTGTGGTCAAGGGCTACATGGAAGGGCCTTACCAGAGACTACAGGGTGGGGCCAACATTGTTAACCATGGTTACACCAAAGGCTCGGGTCTCGGTGCTGAGATAATCGGGACTTTTGTTCTTGTCTACACTGTCTTCTCGGCTACTGATGCCAAGAGAAATGCTCGAGACTCGCATGTCCCTGTATGTATTTTTGTTTTCTTCGTTTATTGTCTCTCTTTGTTTTTGTGTGGCTTTAATTTGCTTGTGCAGACTTTTAGTGATTGTTCTTGGGCTATGTTCGATAGCCATATAAGCTTATCTAGTTTTAGTTTGCTTCATGTATTCAAATAAGTTTCGTTTGTAGGTTGAACTTTTTTAAAAAATCTCGAGCTTATCTCATAAGTTTTTTTAGGTAGTTTTTCAAATAAACTCGTTTAAATTTTTATTTCAGCTAGTTTATCTATCATCTACCGTACACTTTTATCATATAAGCTAGCTTTTCAGCTATAAGTCATAAGCTCGAAAATTACTTGTAAGCTATCAGCTATCACACATTCCCTTGGATTGATACCTCGTAAGCGTTACCAATGAGTCAGCAAATTGAATCAATGAATTATGAAAATTTATGAGAGAGTGTAGGCAAGTGGGAGAGAGTCGATTTATATGGTGAATATTGGTTCTTCAGGTTTGAAGTGATCATAGAAGAAATGCATAGATTGCTTTGAAGTCTCAAACACCATGTTTGTTTGGGTTTGTGGTTCATTTTTTTCATTTACGGAAGTCGAGCAATTTTGTAGGAGGGAAAAAATTGGGGCGTTACTTGAATATTGCTTTTTTGGAATATGTTGAAAATAGTAGAAGTTTGATTCTCATTATCGGTTGTGGTGTCTCAACCTATGTGTTGCATTTTGTGCATTCGACAATCATATGAGGTTTAAATCGAAGATTTTGAAATTGTGTTGGATAAATTTGCAGATTTTGGCTCCTCTTCCCATTGGATTTGCGGTCTTTCTTGTTCACTTAGCGACCATCCCCATTACCGGGACAGGAATTAATCCAGCTCGGAGCCTTGGTGCCGCCATTATTTACAACCGAGACCACGCATGGGATGACCATGTAAGTCATTTAGTCATTCGACTCGTAATAGTATTGTATACAATTACAATCTACAAGCTCGTTCCATTTTTTTATTTTTTATTTTTCACCTAGTCTGAGTCGAGGAAAATATATTATTTTAGTTTAATTCGACTGAAATTTGACTTTTTGTTTCGACTGCGTTTCTCTCAGTGGGTGTTCTGGGTTGGGCCCTTCATTGGAGCTGCTCTTGCTGCAATTTATCACCAGATTGTGATCAGAGCCATTCCATTCAAGAGCAGGACTTGAGCTTGATGATTTATAACATGCCATCCTTGTGCTTTTTATTAAAAATAAAGAAATAAAAATTGTATTTGTGTTGTAATGTCAAATCTTAATGTAAATTATGAAGCATGTATGTATTAGTTCTATCTGCACTATCATGGATGATATCGAGCAAATATGCGAAATAACACTTCTGAATAAATTTCAAAATCTGAACCGATAAGCAATATAACTGCAAAAAGGGATGACGATGAAATCACGAATATTGCATTACACAAAACCACCATTGATGAACATCAGCTTCATCGTGTATCAGAAAAGAGGAGAAGAACATTAGGAGCAAGAATCTTTTCCATTTCGAAAATCAATGCCTAAACTCGTTCTATACAAGAAAAAAGGAAGAACACTAGACACATAAAGGAACTCCAAGACAATACACTACACCTAATCCTTAACCGAACTCCAAACTTCAACACATTGTCGATCTCTCCTCGTCACAAACATTTTACTCCCGCCAAAACTCAAATTTGTAATCCTATCACCACCCATATCCTTAACTCTTCCCATCAAGTTCTTCTTAAACACTCTCCTGGGCAAATGCCCATTTTCCGAATTCTCAACAGAACCAATTAAAACCTCCGACCACAGCTCGAGATTTCCACCTTTACTGCAGAAAATCTGATTCCCATGACTCTCGATCTTACACCCGAGCCCTTCCTTCTTACCATTCGCCACTCTTCGGCCGTCTTCACCAAGACAAACCCAAGAATGATCATGATCACTCTCCATAACCCGAAAATCCGCAAAAAACACCTCACCTGTATTTATACCAACCTTAAACATCGCGCAAAGTGTGTTCGAAACTGTCACATCAGAAAAGCAATCATTTTTCTCCTTAATTTCATAAACCACATTACCGGACCTAATGTCCCAGAACTTGATATTACCAAACACACCCGAAGGCCCGCTGTGAGAGCCCGAGGCCATTAACAAATTATGGCTCGAGACCCATTGGAGTTTGGTGGCTGGGATAGCTGAGTGAAGATCAGCTCCAAATATCTCATAGTGGCCGATTTCAGTCACTGGCCGCAAAGTATTAATATCGTAAACCATGATGCAGTTCGAATTCCTTCGTCCCGACTCGAAGCTAGTGAACAAATGCTCGTTCGATGAGCCAATGGCTTGCACCGTGGAGCTTGATTTTGTAACATTTTCCCAATTCAAAGTCTCCTTCACAAAACCCTTGCCCAGATCAAGAATCTGCAGGCCCGAAAAATCGGTGGCCCCAGCTGCTGCCAGCTCAGGGGATAAGGCCAGAAGTGAGTCAACGGCTGTGAATTGGGTCAAAACCGTCGATTTTCGCCTCAAGGACCAGTCGAAGGATGTGATTTTGCCGCCGTGGGCCACGTGCAGGGAGCCGTGAGGTGTGGTGGAGATGGCCGAGGGGGAATCCCGGCCGGTCATGGGGAGGACATGGGATTTCTCGAGGTTGAAGGGATCGAATTGGGCAGGGCTAGATTGGGAGTTTACCAAGAGACTCTCGATGCCGTAGAATCGGGACTCGAATATCAGGTCCTGCATATCGAAAGACTTGGATTTCGACGGGAGGTTTCCGGTCCGGAGGAGGGACAGTAAAATCGAGAAAAGCTCCGGGTCCCGGTCGACGAACGGGATCGAGTCGCCAGAATTTGAAATCTTCGAAAAAATCGAATCTGGACCCGCTAGGGATAACGTCTGTTTGGTCGTCTGGAAAAGCTGCCCCCCAACGTCGATCGTGACTATGTTCGAATTCCAGTCGCGGCGGACGGCGCCGGTCGTTGGGGACTTCGGTCCGGCGAAAGGCGGCATTTCTATCACTCAAACAAACAAAAAAAAAGCCCTAATTTTTGAGAAATTATTGTCAAATATCAAAGGAAGCGTGGATTATCAGAAGAATTCGAGAGAGCCCAGATGGGAAAAAGCAAGAATAAATCAATCTTGCACGGCCAAGAAATCGAATTTCGAAAATTGGGGGCTTCTAATTAGGGCAGAAGCCAAGAATCCTCATAAAAGATGGCTTCAATAGTAGAGAAAAAACAATGAAGAAATTTATCTTAAATCAAAGACTGAATTTTTTTTGAGTATTTGAACTGTTCCTTGCCCTCAATTTGTAGGTAGGAGAGAAGGGAAAGGGGTAATGGGAAATGAAAAGTAGGGAAAATTAAGGTAAATAGCATCTAGAAGGTCAGCAATGGCTTCTGGTCAGCTAAGCTACAAAAAGAGGGTTATTATTTCTTGGAGAGAAAGTAGGAGTTATGGGATGCTATTCACAACATTCAAAACGTTTCATAAATTATGTCATTCATATTCTAGAAGTCTATTTTGGCCATCTTTGGGGAATTAATGGATAGTGAATAGGTGATGATAGGGTTGGTATTTGTTTACCAAAATCGAAAATTGTACGAACCGAACCGACGAGAAGATAAATTGAATTGTACCGAGTCGCTTATAACGATAATCAATTATCGGTTACCGAAATGTATCGATTCGATATCGATTTTGAACACATTAAAACGATAAATAGATATAAGGCTTAATTATTTAGTGTTTAATGTTTAAAAATTGAAATAAGGGCACAACCCTACCTAAACCTCAAACTAACGAGAAAAGTACCACTTCCATCGCCTCCTTCACCTTTTCACTGGAACATCTTCGGTTTGCTAGTCTAAGTCTCACTCTTTGTGAAGAAAGATGTTCCCATTACTGTCATTATTGTAGTCCATTCTCGTACTATTGTTACTAGATAAGTTAGTTGAATTTGCATCATAAATTTTATTTATTGTCTATTCAACATTAGATTGTATTATTAGTTGTGTTTAACAAAAATTCCAAAATATAATTATATTTAAACTGACTTTTATATATTAAATTTAAGCTCTTTAATATTGTCGATCTGTGAGTCTTATGTGTGTATATAAATGGTAAGCAGTGAGAAAAGTACCAAACTGACAAGAAAAGTAAGCACTAACTTTTTTTTTCTTCTCAAAATTGGTTCGATTTTTTCAGTATAAAATCGAAATCGAACCGAGTTTTCGGTTACCTAAAATTCAGAACCGACTACAAGTCGGTTCGGTTTCGATTTTGCATTTTGGGATTACCAACACTATCGGTTCGGTAGCGGTTTATTCTTATTGGTAAAATTACCAACCATTCCTAGGTGATATGATTAAACACATAGCCGGCTCCTTGGGGAGGCAAGCTATGACTATGCCTAGGGCCTCCATTTATTTGGGCCTCATATA